AAAAAAAAAAAAAAAAAAAAAAAAAAAAAAAATCATAGAGAAGACACAAAAAAAGTGTTACTTGTTTCTCTACCAGTCTACTTGCAACCATGTCAGTTTAAGTCCCATTTGCTTTCAACAGCTAAGAAGTAAAAGTTATTTGCCTTTTATTTCAGGAAATCCTGCAGCTCATTAGGAGTGACATCAGTGTGATATGTTATCACCCACAGCACGGTGAGGTCTCACGTACACATGCTTTGAGAGGCACTGAGAGGTACCTCCGCTGCCCTTTTGTAATGTGGGACAGAGTTCTGAGCACTGGTCTGCAGATAGTTATTCTCTTCTTTCAGATTTGTCTTGTACTCAGTGGACTTTGGGAAACAGGTTTTCAGGAACCTGTCCATAGCAGCTACCCTGACGTTTTCCTTATCCACATGGAACTGTGTGCGCTCCCATCCCGTGAAGAATCCACAGTTGGGGATGGTTCAGGAGCTGCTCTGTGGTGGGATTGCTTTTGACCATCTCGTCAGCTGACCCTGGGTTGTTTTCACACCCTCTCTCATGACAGCACATGTGCCGGCACTTCCAGTATTGATACAGAGGGACCATGGCATGCAAACTTCAAGTTACTCCATGAGTGGCATGGACTAGTCCCACTAGAAGAGACTAACGCCGTGGCGTTAAGAAAGGGTGATACATCCAGCTGTCCCGGAGTCAAAGTCTAGATAACTGTGCGACACCCAGAACCTCTAGGGCCAAGGTAAAAGAGACGTGGCCACAGTGTCCCACATGTTCTAGTCATCCCCGCCTGTCCTAAGGGACCAAAAGCAGCTGGCAAAAACTGGGGCATCTGTCAGGTTATTTAATTCTGTGTTAGGCTCCCTAATACACAGCAGGTTGGAAAAAAAACACCCTTTTCTGAGTTACAGCATGCTTTCTTTGGCTGCAGCTGTGACTCCAGGTCTTTGCTTACCAAAACAAACGGTAGAATCCGTCCATCATAGCTGCTATGGCAGGAAAATACTGAGAAACAGAGACAGACCCAGCGAGGAAGAGGACGGACTTAGCGAAGGCATAGGGAACTGGACTGAGGGGGAGAAGAGGCACTTTGCCAGTCAGGGGAGATGCAGAACTTACCACCTGCTACCACAGAAGTAATTAAATTGCACTCCAGAAATGGATAGTCCATATCCAAGTGAGGCAAAACTGATCTCGTACAGATCTCTTCCAACCTGGAGAGTTATTACATCTCTCTAGTTCTAATTACGCTGTTACCCAGTATGATGCCAACTCCAAAGGCAGAACCTGTGTCACTAAAGAACCTTTTCTTTGTGGAAACAATGATTAGGGGAGGCAATTCTTTCTTATGAGAAATTTGGAAATAGTTCCCTTTTCTATCTGATGCTCCTATCATTTTTTAACCAAAAAAGAATTGAAAAACATTGAAAACTAAAATTGTGATGTTAAAAAAAAATATTTTTAGGATAAATATTCAGTTTGAGATAAGTCTTTATTGAAACTTTTACCAAAAATATGACATTTTTAAAAGAAGGGAAATATTGTGGGTTTTTTCCATACGTAACTGTAAAACATCAAATGAAACAGAAAGCAAAACAAAAATTACATATCTGTCCAAAAAGTTGTGGGGTTTTTTTTATAGAAACATTTTGATTAAGAAGCTGAAACAGCCATAGTGGTCAAACTAATGGCACTTCACTTACACAGTGTCTATCTCCTCCAGGAAAGCTGTCTCTCCAAGACCAAGGGCAATGCATAACTGTTCAGGTTGAATAATTCTGCTCTGACAGTGACATCCAGGCCATGCCAGGGAAGGTTACACACCCATCAGAGTGGGTTGGTGAGGTGCCACGCACAGTTGGCCAGGACTATAAATCCTTCAAGAAGCCAAACGAGGTGGTCCCTTGAGCGAGATATGAGTGCCTCTTGTTGTAGACATGCCTCTAAGCATCGGCTTTATCTGCATCCTTGCAGATGTCACCAGCCTCCGGAAGAGTAGAGATGAAGACACAAGTGAGTTAATATCATTGTGTGTCTCACCTCACCAATCCACCAGGATTCATCCCCATCCCAGTCAGACCCACTTGCGCTGCTCAGCTCCCAGAGAGATGCTTGCAGGCAACACTGCCTGAATGTTTTTCCTCATAGCACAACTGGCACTACATGATTCCTGAATCGGCAGTGGAGGATGTTTGCTTAAATTGACCCAAGCTATGCCATGTCTTTCTCACCTTTCTTATGTACATGTGTGGAGCAAAACATAGCTGGGCAAACCAATGGGTGTTTTGAGTTGAGACCGAGTATGATGGGGAACGTTTATGAACAAGCGGAAATGTGTGTTTGGGACGGGAGCTGCAGTAACTTGATCTGGTGAGTGACTTGTCATGCATGGAGGATCTCTGGTCACCAGTCCAGCCTCATAGATATGTTCACAGTGGCAGTTTCTACGAGTGAAGCCACTGCAGTTTGCTGTGCCTTTGCCCATGCAGTCACCTGTGTTTGAAAGGAGGAGAAGAGTGAAGGGCAGATCTTTTTGCGGTGACTTTAAGCCTGAATGTGCATCAGAGACATTTTGCTCCACATGTCCAGGCAAGAGCTCTGGGCTCTGATTTTAATTTAAGTCAAATGCCAGCAGGAGAGACCCCAACTCACCTATTTTAAACTTTAGAATTTAAAATTTCCAAACATGTCACCACGACAATTATTCACTTATTTAACTGAAAGGTGCTGTTTGGCCCTGATTTATGCTGGGAGAGCAGGCTGGGACACGGTTGAGGAGATGCAGGGTGAGCCCCTCTGCCACATCCCTGCAGAAGGACCTGGGCAGGAGTCTCTGGACCGTGGTCTCCAAGGGTGACACCTCTGCAGTGTGCACTGAACCCCCAGGAGGAAAGGCAGCCGTGGAGGGGATGGTGATGCTTACCCTGCTCCCCTCTGAGCTCCAGCTCTCCATCACACCCCTCTGCTCCTTGGCTGGTCGGTGAGTGAACTCTCAATAATCCTTTTTGGGTATTTCCTACCCCGCTCCCCCTAGGCACGGCAACACCATGCCATGAGCCCAGGTCCCAACACCTGCCCGATGGCCTGCAGGAAGGTGCCGTCCATGGGGGGCCCTCACAGGGACAAGGGTGCCCCGTCTTTCCCTCTGATGCTGATGGCAGCCCATCTCCTTGACCTTCCTCTGTCCCCATCAGCAATTTCGGGGTGGTATTACACCGGGTGCTGGCAGGGCAAGGACACGCTGGTGGCGTCAGGCGGTGACGAGGTGTTTTTGCAAAGTGCTTAGCATGGGGATTTCTCGCCACCAAGGGCAGCTTTCTGCCTGGCATTGTTCTGCTCCCTAATCTTGGTCATGTGCTCTTTGGCATCCAGATTCCCAGTCGTAACCATCCAGCGCTTTGATATTTATTCTGTGTCATTCGATCAGTTTGGTGGGGGCAGTTCTTTCCTCCCCCTTCTTTTCTGCTTGGCGGCGTGGTGGCAAATAGGCTGGATACAAGGAGCCAATCACAAAATTGCTGCCGGGAGGAAAGGAGGAAAAAAAAAAAAACAAACCCAAGCCCACAGACTAACGTATACAGCTATATTTTATTGAATGGCCGTGGATACGTCCCTCTCCCAGCAAAGCCCGAGAAGAGTTTAGATGCACGCCCCTCTCGTGGCAGGTACCCCCGTGTCCCGCAGATGCCACCCCAAGCTCTGCTCCCCAAGCAGTGCTCTCACAGTCCACCCAATCCCTCAGACAAAAACTTTTGCTGTCATATCACAGGACACGATAATCTCCTGTATCCCGTCTCTGTAACCCAGAAGCCGCCTCCCCCTAATATTTTACATATTCCCTAAATTCATTTGCAAGGGGGCAGGAGAGGAGATAACGGCAGTGAGTTGAGCCGAGTGGGAACTGCTGACTGACAAAGTGTGTAGTGCAGTACGGGTGCTTTCTGGCTCTCTAATTATCCTTTTCCTTCTTGACTCCAGTATCACATGTAGCCATGTGTAGAATCATAAAATAATTATGCAGTGTACAAGCTTTCTGGGAGCATGTACCACTGTTTTCCTAATTCTTTATCGCTCCCATTGATCGTGGCGTGTGTGCATTGATCCAAGTCGGCCATCTGGTTGGGGAAGATAAGCGTGCGAGTGTCTTTGCATTGCACTGTCACTCAGGGAGGGGGGTACATTTTGGCTGTAGGGAATTACAGGGGCAGGATTAGCCCTCTTCCTAGGAGTAAACTGAATTTTAAATGTAGTGTTGCAGCTGCATGGACCATGTTGCTAACTTCTGGTTTTGCCCATAGACTGGGTAAATTTTTAAATTATTATTATTATTATTATTACTATTATTACTATTATTATTATTATTATTATTATTTCCTTGTCTTCCTTGTTCAAACTGTATTTGGAGATGGAGATATGGCTTGCATTAAAAGGAGGGGAGAGAAGGGAAAAAAGAGGAATGTCCTTCTTTGCACATACTAGACTTGTGAGTGGCTGCTGTATTACAGGATTTCGAAATGGCAAAACCAGCTTTTAAATGCAGGCGAGAACCTGCTGGATTGAATGCATTTCACAATAAGAATCATTGGTCCAAAAAAGGAAAAAAAAAAAAAAAGATTAAGTTATCAGCCTATGACAGGAAATTAAAGAGTGGATATTAATCAGCTCTCTTAACTTTGGTTAATCAAGACAAATAAACCTAATCACACGTTATCAGGATGTGTATGTTTAATAATCAGCAACAAAACAATGGAGATTTTTTTTTTTTATAACGTATTTATTTTTTTTCTTGCCTGCCAGCTTTCCCCCTAACAATGGGCATATCCTGCAATCGCTTGAACTTGGCTACAATATTTTATCGAAATGGCCGTTGTGTGTGCGCGCTCACACCCCTGGTCGTCCTTTTGTGAAAATGTGATGGTGGCCATTGTTGTCTCATATTCTGCAAATGTATGGAAGGTGCCTCAAAAGCCTTTCCTCTAAAATTGAACAATTCTGTCAAAAAAGATTAGTTCTATTTTGTCTGCTGCTTGCTGACTATTCATGAATGTAAAGAGAGAGGGCTTGGGTGTCATACTAAGTTGCTAAGGTGGCTGGCTTTCGGCTATTGACTTGAGGATACCAAACCAGAGCCTACAAAAGAGCAGCCAGAAGGAGAGGAGAGAACTGGTCTGCCATGTGTTTCAGCTATACCTTCTTTAGCTGCCCATTTATTTCTTTTGTTGTCACAACTTTTATTGTCATACAGTTGAAAAAAATGTTAGACACAGGCTTCAGGCTGCACCAAGCAGAAAAAAGGATTAGCATATCACTAGGATCATCTTACACTGAACCAAATTCTTTTCAGGATGTATAATTAGTGAATACAGTCTCCCCCCACACACCCCTCCGTCTTTTTTTTTTTTTTTTTTTTTTTGACGAGGTGGAGGGAGCCTATGGATAGGGAAAATTAGCTCAGATCTCTGGGTAGGAAACAAGAAAGGAGAAGTTCCCTAGTTTCAGGGCAAATTTTATACCGGCTATTTCCCTATTTTAGCTGCCTGCGTCATGTTTAAGAAGCCTTTTGCGCAGTCACAAAATGTGTGGGAGTCTCTTGTTAAGAAAAAAACAATTTTTTTCTACAGAATATGCACAATCACCTTCCCCAAAGAGGACTAGGAAGAGAGAAATTGTTTTCAGAGCTGGCCCCAAACCTGAGCAGCTGGAGATGGGCAGCGTTTCTGTGCTGCCTCTCTCTGACAAGGGCTCGGCATAAGATATGATCCTGGAGGATGTATTACTTTTTTTTTCTCCTCATGTGTGCTCCCAGCTCCCTTCTGCCATCTGGGAACCGCACACTTCTCTGAGCACTACAATAAAGAAATTCTGTTTCTCCTAATGCTTGGATCTGTATGACTCAGTCATAAAATCGGGGCTAGTACTGAACTGTAACGTATGGTATATGCATTTTTAAAACAGGGGAGAGATGAATGAGGGAATCAATGATTTATTTTTTAAAATAATGCAGGCCATTTTCAGTGATGACAGAAATAGGCTTGAGCCAAGCAGCAGGACTGTGTGTTTAGCATGTTCCTTGTCTGTACAGAAAGCAGAAGAGCTCCCAGATCCAGCTGATATTGGTGGAACATGCGTAGCCTTTGCCATTTATCGGGACAATTCAACTCCCAGATATTTGGCCCTAAAAATCTTTGATTCGAATTACATTTTGCGTCACTGTATGCTTACAAAAGGTGCTGCTGTGTTGTTCTACCTGGGGTAGAAGTGTGGTTCTGCATGAGGATCAGGGTGAAGAGGAGGCATTTGACTCGCTGCACCCATATCAAAGCTTCGACGCGTGTCCCAGTCCATGCTGCCTCCAAAACTCAGCTGCACCTTTACCCTGATGGATTCAGGTGCTTCCTGCTCCCGTTAGCGCAAAATTTGAAAGCAGAATTACCCTGGGAAGGAAACAGAGCTTATTTTTCAGCTCAACGGCTGGTAATTTCGCTGCGTTTAATCACGCCGCACATTTGACATCATTGCCTTTTCAAACCGTTCAAACCAATTGTTCCACCAAAGCAGCAATTGGATGTGAATATTCAGAAGCTGCTCTGGGGTGCTCGGTGGTAATTGGTCACATCACTCACATGGTCTCATTCCCATTCTGATGAGGAGAGGGTAGAAATTTGCTTCCCGCCGATACTTAAACACCCACACATAAAAATCTCATTTAGCACAACTATTTTTTTTTTTCCTGGGGGTTACTACAGCTGCTTGAACGCTTACAGTCAGAGGGCACAGAAGGGGAACAAATGAAAGGAGAAGTCAATTAAAATGGTGAAAGCAGACACCAAAAAATGTTTCTTTCTTCACTCAGTTCGGTCCCAGTCATTGGCCCTGCTGATACACGGGATTTTTGTTGGTTGGATGCGATGCAATATACTGTAGCCAGGTGAAAGGGAGGAGGTTGAGGTGAAGATCCCAACTGCAGCTGTACTGATGTTTCCAGGGACCCAGAGCTTGTACTGGGAGGTCGTTGTGGCAACCCAGATGTGAAGTTTAAGAGAGTGAGCATAATGAATAATGAGTATCCCTTAGGGTCTGTGTAACCCACACACCAGAGGGCTAAGAAAAAACGCTTAAGAATCAAGATATATTTGAGGAGAAATTGTCTGACTCATTTAGGGAAATTCCAGCAGCTATTTTACGACTGGTGGGTCACACGTATAGTGGGCATCTATTGTCCACGTGGATCTCCTCTTGACTTCAAAGCGGATTTTTGGTAAGGGATGTCTGCAAAGCAGACCGTTGTGTACAGCAACCGTGTCACACGCTGTGGCTTATGATATTCTTCATGATGCTCTAGTACACTGAAAAGCGTGTGAAATTATGGACAGGGATGACTTGAAAGTTACTGTTTGTTTAGAGTGCAGAATAGAAAGCCTAGTGTGATGTTCCTCCTTAAGAAAAAATTACTCCGGATAGCCACTTTTTATGAGGAAGGAGAAGATAGCCCAGGATAGCCAGAGGAATCCAAAGGTGGGTTATTTTTAGAGACTGATAAAGGTTTCCAGGTAACTTCTCACTAAGATGAAGTAGTTCGTCTTACTCAAGTCAGATGTCCTCCTTCCTTCTCCTTCCGGTAAAACCTAACTAAAGTAGAAGAAAAGGTAAATAAAAATCAGAAGGACAGAACAGCATATATCTGGATGACTGTAATCTACCTCCTGTAATTTTGCAATCACACTAAAAATGCAGTTAGCTTGCAGATGACCTTATTTACCAATACCTGGGCTTGGCTCCTCGGTAGCACACAATAAAAGCACGTTACACCGGTCACCTTGGTGCTGAGGCTGGAGCTGTGTGTCTGTTGGTGCTAGATCAGCCAGCGGGTGTGTCCCTCTGAAGCTTTCAGGTTATATTTTCTGTAAATAAATGCTGTTTAATAAGTATTCCATGTGCATTTTGTCATTAGCCTGATACTATAGAGATGTGCAGACCCAACCTTGATTTATAAAGCTGTTAAAATGTTTGACCTTGTTTAAATAAAAGCCTCAAGGTTAATTACAACAAGAATTCTATATACACTCTCTGTTCCAGTCGCCCGGATGATTTGCGGGAGGAAAGGGTAATAAATTCTCATCTTTTAAAAGTGACTGCAGTGCAGAAGTGTAAGAGTTTGCTTTTTTGACATTTTCATGTTTTACCACACTTTGTTATGTGATATATTGATCAATTATGAGATTCCTCTTCCCAGGGAGCACTAGATATTTTTACTTAAAGTATAATAAGAAGCACGTGAGAATGGGGGGGAAAAAAAAAAGAAAAAAAAAAAAAAGGTCTTTGGGAATAAAGACTTGGAGCTTTGCTCCTGGATAGGATGTATCCATAATGAGGTAAACAAAGGCACTGGTGTGGGTTTTTTTACTTATTGCACGGAAAACAAATTTCACAAAATAAAAACCAATTTAAGTTTCTTTTAAAAGAACTGGGAAATATTGAGGAAAGTTAATTGAAGCACATTCAAATTACAATAAACACATACAGGCACAATTATCTTCTTTTGACTAGTGTGTGGCTTAGAGATGTTTTTATCTTTTGTTTATTGCACTATTAAAAATATGGAAAGGCATCAAGAAAGGGTAGATAGCCACCATATGGAATTACATAGTTTCCCTATTTATATTTAAATAACTATCCATGAGAAATTATGCACAAATCATGCAATAATTCCCAACTGAAATGACTGTTTAGAAAATAAAAATTCTGAAGCACAATATTCTTTTCATATTAAATTGCCCATTTTCTGTACATCATATATGTTTGTACAATACCAAAAAAAAAAAAAAAGTTGCATTACAGCCCAATACAATTTGTTCACAATGCTAATGAAGATGGATAGAGGACATTGTAATATACTGTAGTAATTCATAAGCAGTGTGGGAAAACAAGACAAACAGGCTCAGAAAGCTGGAGCATAATTTTTTTTATTCCCATTTTCGGAGTGAATAGTGGTAATTTTAATAACCTGCTGGTTTGACAGATTTAATGATGCCGATTAACTTTCATTGCTTGATTCATGCCATGTCGACATTCGAGGTGAATGTATGTGCTTGCAAAGTTTCAGTGGCTGGTTTTAGGCAACTAAAGAGAAGCTCCTAACACCCTGCAGAGAATTTGGCAAGGCTGGAAGCCTTGTGTTTGGGATGCCACCCTTTACCCAAAGAAGCCCGTTTCAAGCCTGTATCTCACTTTGCAGCAGAGCCATGCCCGCTCGCTTATGGATCCAGGGTCCATCTGCCCATCAAAAGTGCCACGCTGGGATATTAACTCTGGCTTCACTTGCAGGCAGAAATACTACGTGATATCTCTGATTGCAAGTTCTGATTAACTGGGACTAGGATGAGAACGCCGAGATCGTTTTCACTTGTGATAAAGCTCAAAAGAAGAAATATTTTATCAGCAAAATATCCAGCTTTAGTTTGTACCTCAAAAAGGAAAACTATGAAATCTTTTGACATTCTAAAATGGGAGTGAAAAATTCCAAATTAGCTGATGTGTCCTTACGTGCATTATGTAAGTCAAACTTTCCTTGTCTGTCCATCTCTGATAATTCTAATAATTTTAAGTTTTGTAATTCAATATCTCCCATCCAAGTACTTAAATTAATACGTTTTAATCAGGTTTCTCTTTTCACCTCCTCTCTAATCAAAGCGAAGAGGTGAGAAGGCAGAAATCCCCACTCATTAAAATAAGCCCTTCCTCCTCTTAGGATGCAAAACTACAAGTGTGCCGGTCACACTGAGAGGCACCATTTCAGGAGGAGGCTGAAAACTGCTGCACACCCTGAAAACAGTAACCTACAAATACCTGCAGCACCTGCTTCTCTCTACATAACCACTGTGCATGACTAATGATGGCCCCATCCTTAAAAACACACACCCGACAGACAGCAGCACGCAAAGCAAAAAGTTTCTTCCAATTTCACCGGACTTTTCTCTAAAACCAGCTAAAATTTTAGCTGGATGCTCAGGCTCCAAGTGCACCTCACATCAGGTGCCACACAGCAGCCTGTCCGGCCCCCCACTTGCCCCATCTTGCTCAGCCAGATGTGACAGCTGTGCCTCCTCATTTTGGCCAGCCAGGCACTGGGGATTTCTCTCCCACCACAGTCCTGCAGGTACCCTGGAACCCCCTCCCTATCAGGGCTTCCTGATCAGCATCTTGCAGGATCATGTCTTGCAAACTGATTTACTGTATGTGTTTTATTTGTGTATGTAAGTGTGTACATATATATTTATGCACATACACACATACACACACACACACACACATATATATATATATATATATATAGGCAGAGTTCTGCTGTGGGGTTGACACAGCAATTTGTTTACTTATTTTAGGGGAAACTCTTCCAAGAAACATTCAGGTCTGTCAGAAATGGGGAAAAAGAAAAAAAAAATAAATAAAAAGGAAAGAAAAGAGTATGATCTGACTTTTATGGCTTGTTTCTTTTTAAAATTTTATTTGATCCCCCTTGATGCTGTCATGTAGGTTGAAAGGCTTGTTTGCTGCATTAACTCTACTTTGTTTCCAAAGGGTGTTTCTGGTTGGTATTTTGGGAATTACAAGGAGCCTTTAGTATGTTAACACTAGGGAAAAGTGTTTTCAGTCCAACAAAGGGTGGCCTTCATGGAGTGCTGCTGTCACACTGTTCAGGTAAAATACCTCACTGTGGTCCTAGTACTGCTGATAAAGGTGCCTGCCTCATGCTAATTCTTAGTTTTCATCCTTTCCTTGTGCTTCCAACTCTCATTCGTCTAATTCACATCCTGCCTCTCCATGTGTTCACATCAGCTTGAATGTGAAGTCACGAAAAAGCTGGAATTGTAGTTAAATTCTTGTATGAAGGGCTGCAGGTTGGGACAGTGACACCACACCAGGAGGTGGGACATGTATTCGTGTGTGCCACCAGCCAACACTGCACCCAACAGCCATCTCGTCACATGGGTGTGGGTATGTGGCATCATGTTCCTGAGAAATGTATGGAAGGATCTATGGAAAAATTAATTTTGGATCGCACCCCTATAGCTTGACACTGGCATCACCAGAGTTGTTCCCAATTTTCATCTGTAAAAATGCCTCAAAACCTTTTTTTTCCTCCCACATTTAATTAGCAGTTAGTAACAGTGTCCCTGTAACCATGGTGGTCCAAGGATATAAATGAAACAAGTTTGGCATGGAGGAATAATACCGTTTCATAGAGTGACTGATACCAGTTTTCATTTTTAAAAATTGCCATGAAACACTGTGGCATTTATTTAAAAAAATAGTACCTCAAAGGGAAAAAAAAATTGGCCACAAGCCTTCTTATTTTACGTTTGTTTTTTTTTTTTAAAAAAAAAAATCTATTTTTTAAATTTTTGTTTCATTTCATTTATATTCCAACAAAACCCAGAATCTTGGCTGCTACAGAAATAATTTACTGGGGAAAACATGTTTTGGCTGAAAACTTTGAACCAAAGTTGGGGAAGAGAACTGCCAGACTGTTGCCCAGATGTCACCATACTAAAATAATCTCATGTTTTTATCTGCCCTTAATGGCAATGAATGTCAGAGGTGGAGAAGTGAAATGTGAACAGTCCGGAGCTGTGGCACGATGACGAGTGCTGCCGTGCCGCTGACTGCCGCCTGGTGCCTAGCACTGCGTTGCTGGCACTGCCGGCTCTCTCCCGTTCCGTCTCTCTTTTCTTTCCTTCTCTGACATTCCCTGATAATGCTGATGGGGATGCTCCCTGGCACTGATGGATGCAACATCATTTGGATGCCGCTTGAACAAGTCAAAGTATGGGATATCTGCAGCCAAAGAGCATTTCATTACCTGCTCTGCTCCTCAGTCCTGTCTTCATCTTCCTGTTCTTTCGTTTCTCCTGGGGGGAACCAGTAGAGAAAAAGATATCTCACACTGCATCAGAAACCCAGTTTAGCACTCTTGGTTTATCTGGGAATGAGCCTTCGGTACTAGCACTGATGTTGTCTTTGATGATCTTTGGGCCAGGTGTGAAGGGGATTATTTTGAGACTCAGTCCTTGCTGTTGCTTCTGGTTTCTCCACTGCTTTCTGGCAAGAGAGCAGACGAGGACAATTTGGGTGGGAGATGGTAGTGTGGCACCTTCTCTTGTCCTCCACCATGGGAAGGACCCATGGCAGGGTCTGTAACATGTTGCTCTTCAGTTCTGTGCTAGATTCACACTCTAACTCAGCTTGGGGAAAGCACAGGGGAGGCAAATGGTGTTGGCATGGCGTTGGTGTTAGCATGGCATTGGCATTGACACCATGAGTTTTCAGAGTTGTATTTTTCCAGACAACTCCAGGTAAGATGTTGTTCACATCCTCTTTTGGGTTGCAGCCATCTGCCATCACTCTGGCTGTGCTTCTTTTCCCCAGAAAGAAGGTAATAAATGTGGGTGCTATTCAGGCAGTGGGGTGCAAAGGGACTTCTTCTGGCACTGCCTGGTCGACCCTTTAACCGAGAAATACATCGCAGCGAGTAGCCCCAGCATCCACACACATACCCCCCTCCATTCCAGTCCTGCTGGCATGATGCAAGCTTTGTCGGTTTCATTTAGCAATTTATTTTATTTAGCAATTACCATTTATTTCTCCCCTCCATGGTAAATTTTCTCTTTTTGTCCACGACAGTTAGGGAAGGACCTGGGTACGGTATTCCCCAAACAAAATTAAATCCACAAATCTGCCCTACGGGGCACAGAGCATCGTGTTGTCCTGTGTTTGGGCAGTGCTCAGCAGAGGGGGGCCCTGGCCTCCAAGACGGTCAATACAAATAAATAATATGAAGCCCTGGAATGACTCATTTGTCGGGAGCACACCTGCATAACCCATCCCACAGCTGTAGGGCTGG